TTCCCCTCTGTAACTCACCTGCTGCTAATGTTTTGCTCAATGCCGGTTTGGATATTTATCTGTCTGTCTGTCTGTCTGTCTGTCTGTCTGTCTGTCTGTCTAGACACTGGGTCTTACTATGTAGCTTTGACTGGCTTGGCATTGGCTATATAGATCAAGTAGGCCTTGAACTCACGGAGCTCTGCCTGCCTCTGCCTCCCGTTACCTGCTCCCACCGGTCCCTTTTATCCCCCAGTTTGGACTTTGAGGTCCATCATGTCAATCTCTCCACAGTACTTGGGTTTTCCCCGGCCCATTTTTTTCATCACTGAATGTCCCAGGGAGACTCTCCAGCCCATCCCCCGACTACTACCCATGCCTGCAACCTGGCCTCCAGCCATGCCTGAAGATGGCTCAAGTGGGCTTTCAAAGCATCTAGGAATCCTGGAGTTTTCTTGGTCTTGCCACAGGGGAGATCTCCGGTTTCCTGGTTTCAACTCCAGAAGCAATCTCCATTCTTGTGCTGCGGAAAGAGAATTCCAACTGGACCAGGTAATAAAGGGAGCCATGGAGAGCTTACTGTCAGCAAGCAACAAACAAAAACATGTTCTTCAGAAAGGATACAGAGATGGGCACCTGCATCCCAGATCCCAGCAGGCAATGGGGCTCATATTTCTCTACTTCCTGATCTTCCCTCCCTTGTATTTCCCCAAGGCCTGAAACTTCCAGCAAATGAGGGTATTTTTCTCAGAAGCCCATTTTACCCACATTCCAGTCTGTTCTAAAAAGATGTATAAAATGCAAGAATATATATAGACATTCAAGTGCCCAAAGTTGAAATGTAGGTGAAAGGGGAGTAGCACTCTGGGCATGCTCCCTTGGTCACTTGTATCCTGCTTTAGGGACTTTGAGCTGGCCCAGTGGGAGAGCCTGTTGTTTTTTATGTCTTATTTTGGAAGACCAATCATCAGTCCCTCCTAGAGCTAACTTCTGCCTGACAGTCATACCTCTGACCCTCCTCCAGCTTTCAGGGAGACTAGCCAAGGGTCAGGGCCTTCCTCAGTTTTCTGCTTCAAACCCACACACTTATCTGTGTCCACATTCCTCCTTATCTTTACTTTGGGAGTCGCAAGCTCATTCCAGCCACCTTGTGCCCTGAGGCCACCTGCCTGCTCTGTTCCAAAACTGACTTCTCTGTCTTAATCTTCAGGTGATCACTGCTTAATCAACCACATCTCTCCTATCTGGGCCCTCCTTCATGGGCCCTACATTTCCCAGCATCCATTGCATCTCGGACCTTTAATGGAACAGCCCCAATACCTTACATCTAAGTCCCAGTACCTTACATCTGTACTGTGCATTGATTTCTCAACTGCGTCTCTAGCTCCGTTTCTGCCCCTTCCAAATCCACTATGTGCAGACATGGGCTCACCTGAACACACAGTTCTGACCAGGCCATTTGTCTACGTAAAATCCTTACCTGGGAAGTGGCTTCCAGAGTAGAGTGTTTGGCATGCAAGACTAAATACTAGCGTTTGGATCCTCAGAGCTCAGTGGAGGCAGGGAGTCTCCAAGTCAAGCTGAGCCGCCAGACTAGCCCCTTCAGAACAGCAGGCCTCAGGTTCAGGGATAGACTTCCGCCTCAGTCTATAAGGTGGAGAGAGATGGGGGAAGATACTCAGTGTCAGCCTCAGGGCTCCACGTTCTTGTGTGCATGTGTACATATGTATCCATGCATACATAATGCACACCACACATATATTCATGCTATCAAACTGTAAACAACCTTCATTAGCTTCCTTTTGGCCATAAGGAAGTGGCCTACTCACCTAGCACCCCTTTTCTAGCCTTCTTTCTCACCTCTCCTCAGCCTCATATACCCTCTCTGCTGCCTCTAAATTGCTAAGGTCCTTTGCTTCCCTCCCTCTGAACTCCTCTTCCCAGCCTCTCAGGGGCAGCTGAGACAGCATTTCTGGGATGTTTAGTTAGCCATTTTGTCTTTTCCTCCTCAGGCTAATCCCTATCTCCTAGGAGGAGCCAAGCAGTCTAACTAACTTTAGATACAGACCTCCCTGGATTTAAAATCTTCATGTTTTTCAGTGTCTTGAGGACAAAGTCTAAATTCCTCCCTAGGCCCTCAAAAGGGAGCAAGAGAGGACGCCTCTCACATTCTCTTGCTGTGTGTTTGTGTAGTGGCAGGGGCTGAGTCAGCAGTGGAGACTTTGGTGGGTGGTATGCTCAAGGCAGATTTTCTCTAAGGATTGTTCACTGCCGGGTACTGGGTCAGTAGGGGGTAGGAGCAGCAAAGGCAGAGGGTGGGCTCCTCGGTGGTGGATGTTTTGCTGAGAACAAATGCAGGGCTAAGGAGTAGAGGAACCTGACAGAGGGTGAAAATGGGCAGCAGAGTTTTAACGAAAGACAAGGGAGGTGAAGATGAAGGGAAAGTGTCTTCAAGAAGGGACAGCGTTTGGAGAGAACAGAGAGGCTACTGGGCTGCTGCTGGGAATATGGACCAGGCAGAGGTTGAGTGAAATGTTTGCCACAAGGCAGCAGAAGGCAGTGGGCTGCAGGCCTGCTTTAGTGATGGGAGCAATAGACGGCTCCATTACCTGACTCAAGTGTGGTCAGGTGGGTAGATCCCCGACTTCTACAGCGGTAGGGGGCAGGTCATGGGGCTACATGCTCTATTCTCTCCCTCACATCCTTCCCTGGGGGCCTGAACCACTGCCACACACTCTGTGTGTCCACTTCCTGTCTTCTAAGTCTCTGTGTTTCTGATTTCCTTTAGTGTCTTAAAAGAAATATCGTCTCAGCCAGAAGGAAAAGAGACCCTTTGCTTACTTAGTCCAGGTGACAGGATGTTCTGTGGCCCTCTAGCCTCCCAGGACTTGGTCTAGGGCTGCGTCTCTTGTGAGAATTTCTCAGGAAAAGAGTTAAAGGCTTCAGGAGGAAAAGGCTCAGTGTAGTGACCTAACTTTCCTTCCCAGCTAAATGGGCGGGGGGGGGGGGGGGCCGCGCCTCTCCCTGTCCCTTGTATATACATTGTCACCTGCCCAAGTTACAATGTTTTAGCCACTCAACAGTAGCACCTGCAGCATAATAGATCTTCGTTGGAAATAAGAGATACATAGACAACAGAAAACAAAACACCAAGTTGCAGGGATGAGCTTACACCCAACCAAGTCTCCTCAGACACATTAAGACCTGTGGGTTAGAGTCTGCAGCAGAGGGTGTCGTGGGCACCAAAAAGGAGCAAGCCACTAATTTAAGGGAAGAGGGTCAGGGAGAACTCCCTGGAGAATGGAGCTCCCCAGAGAATGGGGTCCTAAAGGATTAGAAGGATGGGACAAGCGAGAGAATGCCGGAAGTGTGTCGAAAGTTTGGTGTGGCTGGTCCAAGAGGCTGAGAGGAGACCTCGTGACATTAGGAAAAAATTTAAGATAGGTTTTAATTTTACCATGACCACTCTGGCTGAAACCTATGTCTGACAGAAACTGGTCTTGAAGACAAAAGAATAACATCAGTGTGGAGGCAGCTGTATAATCAGGACCGAGACAAAGAGTGTCCCTTCTAAAGAATAAAGATGTGTGTTATCAGGCAAGCGTCTGTGGGGGTGCTCAGAGATGATGTCACTGGTCTTGGGAGAGGAGACAGTGAAAGAGCCACCACTGTGTGGGACTTCGCTGAGGCCTCTGACTCAGATGCTGAGGGACTGAAGGCGTCTTCAGTCCAGATGTAGAAACTGCTTAGACAGACAGTAGCGATCCCATTTTGAATGAGCGGAGGGACTAAGCTTCATGGAACACCCAAGGTTTCTGTTGTTGTAGGCATTCTGGGGTGTGTGCTGTTTTCCTCTCCTGGCTCTGCCCACTTTGCCCTCCTCTCAGTTGGCAGCCCCTTCCCCTTGTCCCCTAGCCCATCGCATCTCTTCAGGAGGCATGTTTGTCCTCTTTGCTGATTTGGCCTCACCAGAGCCTGCAGTCCTGCTGTCTATGGTTGTTAGGAGGTTCATCTTTGCCCACCTGGTGGGATGACAGCACAGGGGACTTAAAGGCAGGCTGGGAGTTAATGGTGATTGTGACCCTGCCCTGCCCTCTAGAGCTGCCCCTTAGAGGCGCGTTCTTTGTTATGGGCATGGGCTAAGTGTGAATCAGGGTTGTCTCCTTTCATTATGGAAAAGAGCCTAATTGGAGGTCAATCTTAGTGAATAAACTAAGCAGGAATTTTCTCAGCAAGCCTAAACTTCAGTTGTGATACAGAATTTTCTTTCTCACAGTTTCTAGCAAGCATGGTTAGCACGCTAGTCATCCGCCAGTCCTTGGAGGCATTTAGCTCCTTTAGCTTTATGTAAATTAATATTTCCCAAGCAGGTTTATTAGTAAATCCTTTACAGCACCAATTTTACAACTCCAAGTTTCTCCTGCATCAGCGTCTTTTAGGAGACAGATGTCTCTCTGAGTCTCTGATGTCTTCAGATAATCTCCACCTTGTTTAGCAGGAAGTGGCCAGAGCAGTAACCTACGTTCTTGTCACCTGGAAAGGAAACACATACCACGGGAAAAGAGAACCCTTCCAGGACGACTCCAAGCAGGAAGTGACTTACTGCCTCAGAAGGGCTGTCACACCTCTTCAGTACCCAGAACCCAGAAGCGGGCTAACTGGTACAATCCCAGAAGTGGGCCAACTGGTACAATGGGCACACAGACTGCAGGCTGTTCTTGTTTCACAGAAGGCAGACTATACATAAGGACGGGGGCACATTCTGAGACACAGTCACCGGTTAAATCTCCCCTTGAACCACAAGTGAACATGTGTGAAGGACTGAGTTCCCCACTCTCTCTGGGACCAGAGACCTACTGTCTTTCCAAATCTGTGTAATCCTCTTGACCCTTCCTCCTTCTCTCGTGAGAGGTGAAACCCCAGGTCTGGCCGAATACACCATGGCTATAGCCTGGGATGAGTGGGCTGTGGGGTTGGGGGTAAGGAGGGTCTCTGAGGTGAGATGCTGTGGTGAAGACAACTACAGCCACCCTTTCCCCATAATTTATTTCTTTTTCACTACAGTCACCCTTTAATTGAACATTTGCCAGGAGCCCAATCATCTCGCCCAAGAGGCATTTAATCCTAAGAATCAATAGCAACACTGTTCTAAGAAACTGAGGCAGGAGCGGCTGAGTCACCTCTCACTGGCCCCGGCTGCTAGGTTACAAAATCAAAGGCATTTCCCCATACAGGTCCATCTCGTCCGGAAGCCATTTCTCCCAGCTTTGCCAAGAGTCACTCTCTGAAGAGTGATCACTGATGTAGTCTTGGCAACAGTCGCCTCTGTGGAGATCCTTGATGATGTCACAGGGCAAGGCTGGAGTTGTAGGGTCTCGCAAATGTGGGTCAAGTCTTCAAAGGCTCCAGATGAGTACCGCCTAGAGACCCCACAACCAGCATAACAGTCCATAAACAGCCCCAAAGAGGTATCACTCACCTTCTCATAGGATGGATATGTGGGTGCACATGAGCTTCTAATCACATATCATGCAATGTCATGGCAAGGGGACACAATATGCATGCACCTGTGCATGTCTGCTACAAGTTCTGGGGATACTGAGGCATCGGAAGAAGGGCTCCATCTCTGTCAGATGAGGCTGGCAATGCTGGAGGTGGTCTCATGTCGCTGACCAGAAGACAACTGTCCTGAGATGCTAAAGACGCTGCTGTTCTCACCGTGGCCATTTCGGGTGGAGAATGCCCCTGTACAGATCGGGGGGCAGTGCCCACTCACACCCACCTGGTACAGTAGTAAACCCAGTAGCAAGACTGAACCCAAGGAAGCCAAGGTAATACCCACAGACAGCATGGCAGCCAGTGGCCGTGCTGGGGCTGGGCCAGCAGCCAGCCCAGCCAGGGTCAGGCCAGTGACCAGCAGCACAAAGCCACTGAGCAACACTACCACAGCGTCGGCCCCTCCACCGCTGCGCAGCAAGGCCACGTGCTGGGCCTGGCGTATGCAGTTCATATCCTGCACTGCAGAGCTCATCAGCTGCTTCACCAGAACCAGCAGGGCCAGCAGGCAGAGCACAGTGCCCACTGCGAGTCTCCATTCACCAGATCGGCTGCTGGTGGAGGACAGCAGCGCCACGCCACCTGCCCCACAGCCAGCCACAAGGACCACGGCCACGGAGAAACAGAGCAAGGAGCGCCGGGGCTGCTGGGACCACCATAGCTCCACCTGCTCTGCCAGCACATCTGGGGGCAGTCCCCTGCCCACTGAGGCTTGTTGGGACATGGCTTGGTCAGGCAGGGTCAGGATAGAGGATCAGTTTCAGGGTTCAGAGGGTGTTTATTGTCATCCTGTGTCCCCATCACCTGGTTGGCAGCTAGAGGCCCAGTCTCCTCTTCTCAGTCCAGGCAATGGTTACTCTCACCTGCAGGACAAGATCACATGTTTTTTCCCCACCTGTCTGGCCCTTATAGCCTCCCCTGGGAGTCTTAGGGAGGAGCCCCAAAAATCTTCCCTAGGGTCCTCAGGACCTGTTCCCGAAAGCTGCAACCCTAGCACTGCACCTTCGGAAAGCACCTCCCCTGACCCCAACAGAGTTCTCCTTTACCACAGAGCTCCCCCTCCCCTTCAGAGAATCCCCTTGCCCAGCTCCTAACCTCTCTTGCTCAGGCCGTCTTGGTTGCCTGTTCCATCCAGGCTGCTGGAGAAAGCTGGTGGTGCCACAGTGGATGAGGGACAAACCGTCAGAGATAAAGCCTCATTCAGGACCAGACTCACATGGCCTCAGCTGTCACTGCTGGGTCCTGGGTGGGGGAAGCTATTGGAGAAGGGAGGCTGGTGACTTAACCCTTCTGGAACCAGCACGCTGACCCTGACCCTTCTCTCATAGTGCTGTACCTTTCTTTCTCTATGGTCAGGACCTGACCCCTAACACCTTTCTTCCTATCTCCACCCTATCTCCGTCAGGCAAAAAAAGATGCATGCTCCAAGCCTCTCTTTTCCAGTGGTGATCTTCCTCCTGGGCCAAAGTCAGTCTCTGATGCAACAGGGCCCAACCCAAATTCCACATCTTACCCTAAACCTGTTCCTCCTGTGTTCCTTTCTCAAGATGCTATTGCCACCCTCTTGGCCCACTCCGGGGGCTCCTCAACGCCTTCTGCTGTTGCCAATCCATGGCCCCAGGGTCTGCCTCTTGCCTCCAAACATATCCCTGCTTAGTCCTGTTCTCTGCTCTCATCCAGAACCTGTCTGCTCCACACTGGTCCATCCCCTGCTATACGGCTCCACGTGTTCTCTAAGGCAGCAAAAGGAGGACTCAGGATTTGAACCGCAGCCTAGTCCTTCCCACCGTGGGAATGTGGGGAGGGATCTAATAGAGTTACTCATTTAACCTGTTCCCTACAGGACAGGCAACATGACTCACACCAGGTAAAAATAAAGCTAGCACTGCCGGCAAGGAACTCAACTTCCTGTAGCAGGAGAGACGGATCCTGTAGGTGTCAGCTGCCAGTCCAGGAGGGGCTTGAGTAGGGCAGGGAACCCCCAGCTCACCTCTTAGAGGATTTATCTGAAAATGAGGACAGAGAAGTTTATTCTGAGGTGGGAGAAGTCATCTAACTTCCCATGAGGCAAAAGGGCTCAAAACATACTTTTTAAGTCAGAGAGACTTGGGACCACACTAGACCACACTACCAAGTCCGAATTTTTACTCCAGTGAGACTGAGCGGGGGTGGGGGTGGCAGCTCTGTCCTTTGCAGAGGTTGCCGGGCACGCAATGTGGGTGGGGTAGGTGCCCACGCCCCCACGGGTGGTGGGGAGGGGCCGTGGGCGGAGTCTGTCCCAGCATTCCTCAGGACTGTGGCTTGCTAGATTGAAGGTGCTGGCACTGTCTACTGGGGAACGACCCCAACGTGGGTGGTGGTTCCCGGTAGTAGAACCAGTAAAAAAGGTGGGGGTGGGGCGTGTGGGGACACTCACGGGAAGCCTGGCTGTGCTGAATCCGATTTGAGCAGGCAGGACCCAACAGGTGGGGTGCTCTAGGTCTGTTTCCGGGGAGACGCTTCACCTGCCTAACCTGCACCCAGGTGAGCTGGAAGGAGGGGGGATTAACAGGTGTTGTTTCCAGGGCAGGGCCTGAGCCAATTGGCTGACGTGGCCTTGCGCCTTCTGTGGGGCTGAGACATTCCTGGGAAGGGAGTGGCTTCTGTCCGCTGCTGTTAGGTCTGAAACACAATATGCAGATTGGGTCAGCAGGAGGAAAGAATGCTATCCCTCTGCCCTAGTCAGAGCCTAACTCCCCCACCCCCCAGCTCTAACCTCTTTTTACCTTCAGCCCCCTCCCCGAAGATCCACAGCCAAGCATGCTTATGATTACAGTCCAGGGCTGTAATCTTTGCACCCTGAGAGGCTGAGGCAGGAGGTGAGCCAGTAGGAGGTCCCAACTGGCCTGAAACCTCCTCATTCCAGCTGATTCTGGATTTTAGTTCTGAATCCCTCTGTACCCTCCGTACCAGTCTTGACGTCTAGCGCCTCAAAACGCAGCTTTGCCTTAAAGTCAGCTTCAACCCCAGCGTCCAGCATCAGCGATACCCCAAACCTAGCTCCAGCTCCACCTTAGGCTTTCCCCCAAATCCTTGAGGCCTCAAGTGAGTGGCAGGGTTAGCCTGTCCCGTGGGTGGGTAGAGGCTTTTCAGATAGACAGCTGGAGCTCCCAGAGCAAGCACTACATCCCTTGACAAGACAAAGGAAGCCCTTGCCCTTCATCTGGACTGCCCTCCACCTACCTCAGGCCTCTCTCTCTGCCTGAGTCTGGCCAACTTGAATCATTGAACTGAAATGCCCTGACTGAGCCAGCAGATTCGACTGCACTCACAGCCTGTGCTTCCTCCATATTTGTCCACAACAGATCTTTAGTTAGCTTTCACCCCTAACCCAGGTGTGTATCCCCAGCCAGTCCAGTTCAGGGCTAGCGACCAGTTTACTAACCACCATGATCTCAGCAGCCCGCACTCGGTAGCCTGTACATGTAGGGTAATCGATAAATGTTTGTTGAGTGGCTGGCTAAATAAAAGTGTGAACTGACAAGTGTGACTATTTTGACCTTTGAGCATTTGGGATGAAACCAGAAGGACAAGTTGGGCCCAGGCTGTGTGGTCCTTGAATGCCTCAGGGATGCATTTGGACAGTGCTGGGTGTCCACAGGGGTGTTCCGAAGTGGAACTGAGATATGGTTCAGGGCTCTGCTTCAAATCAGCAAATCTGGTTCTTAGACACCTAGGGTGACTGGCTGGAGGGTGTGCAGGCTGTCCCACATCTTCGCTCCTACCCCTTCTGTAGAGTTTACGATAGTATCTTCGCTCTCCTTTTGATGTGTACTAAAAACAAACAAACAAACAAACCACCACCACCACCAAAAACCCCAAACAACAAAACCAAAACAACAAAATGAAATCCAAGTGATCTTCCCAAGATCAGTCCACAAAATAACTGCCTGGCCTGGCTTCCTCTTTGTTTTGTTCTGTGCAGAAGACTCATAGCTCAAGAACAGCATGGTTTGTCTGTCTGTCTGTCTATATGTATGCATGTATATGTTTCAGCTTAGTTATGCATTTTTTTACACTTCTCTCACATATTACATCCAAATTCAACTGCAGTTTTCTCCTCCTCTCCTCCTCTCTGAGACTCTCCCTCCCTCTACCCCAGAACTACTCCTCCCTCATTTCTCTTAAAAAAAAAAAAAAAAAGAGCAGGCCTCCCAGGGATCTCAATCGAACACAGCATAACAAGTTACAGTAAGACTAGCCACAAGTCCTCGTATCAAGGCTGGACGAGGTAACCCAGTAGGAGGAAAAGGGTCCCAAGAGCAGGCAGAAGAGTCAGAGATGCCCCACTCCTACTGTAGAGCACTAAGCTATACAACTATAACATACATGCAAACATGCAGAGGACCTAAGTTAGACCCAGGCAGGCTCCCTGACTGTCACTTCAGTTTCTGGGAGCCCCTCTTATTTATGTAACTTAAGCCTCTCTAATAGCCTGTTTCAAAAGAACAGGGAAAGCTAACACATTAAAATGAATGTGTTTGCTGGGCTGTGGACATAGCCCAGTGGTAGCTCAGCACGTGGTTCAATTCCCCAGAGCTGCAAAAATATATGTAGTTGAATTCTAAAATATATTTTATTATAGAAGGTATTAATGAGCTTTTTGAAAGTCTTTTCTTATACATACAAATGGTATATCAGTTCAAATTAGCTACCCATTGAGTAGCCAGTAGCCACCTTTGCCTATGGCTGTGACCTTTCTGGGGAGTACAGCTCTGGCTAGCTTTCCCCTGAAGACAACTTTAGGGCTGCTTGACTGGTGGAGGGCAGGGGACATTGGATGACATAGTGAATATTAATCCTGCCACTGCAAAACATTGTACACGTGCCCCGTTTATAAGAAACAAGCCTGGGAGAGTCAAGATCTGGCAGAGCTTGCCAGTCTGGATTCGATCTGAACTCTTCCAATATCCTGGTCCTTAGGAAACTTTGGTCTCATGGTAACCTCATGTCCAGCTGCCCTAGACAAAAGCTGATGCTGGGAATCCCTGAACATCCCCTTTCTCTTCTCTTTCCCTTTGGAGTCTGTAGAGGAGGAAGCAGAGCCTAAAACTTCGGTCAGTTTGAATACTGGCTGGCCAAGTCAGTGTGGCTCAAAGTAAGTGTTGAATCTGTCCCTAAGACAGAGGCTGTGGGTGGTTCACATGGGCAGAAATGGAAGGTTAGGAGGTAGAGGTGGTCGTGGGAATACAGGAGAAGCTGTAGGTCTGAGGGGGCATACAGGGGAGAACAGATGAGCTGGAGTCCTACCTTCCCCCATGCCCAGCCAGAGGCTGAAGGGAGCCTGTAATGCCACTGCCTGCTTGAGTCCCCCCATGGCCAGCCTGGATTCTTCAAATCCATTCCCAGGTATAAGGAAAGCCCTCCTCCTGAGGTCTCTGATTCCACTCCACCAAAGTTTACTCTGGGGGAAGCAATGAGTTTATTGGGATTACTTCCAGAGCATAGGCAAGGGGTTAGTTACTTGAATGTGGGTGCTGCCCACCAAAGACTGCACTGGAAAATCTTTACCCAACAGGAATGATGGTTTTCCCACAGTTTCATAGATCGATCCCCTCTAATAGGTCCCCAGACCTCAGCACAACTGACTCCCCAATGGAAGTACCATTCAGTAAATAAAAATGGTACCAGTCAAAATGAAAACAAAGACCTAATTCGGCAAAGACCATAGTTTTGGGAAAGTCTCTAAATGTATTAACCTTGCCTTCTGGCTTATGTAGTTCTGCTTCTGGCCAACTGTTCTTGTTACCTGAAGTGTGTCAACCCAGGACACAGTTTCTGTGCTTAAAAGCTCATCCTGAGAAAGGCTCAGGCCTACATTGCAATCCTGAACACCTAGTGTAGTCGCCAGCCGGATAATAAAGATTTTCTATTGGCTTAAACCCATGTCTGAGCAGTCTTCTCTGGTGGGTATCCCACTCATCCCCCTTTAATAGTCTTCCTTGGCCCATATACTGTAGCCCTTCCCCAAGGGCACACATAGTTAGGTCAGAGATGCACACAGCACGTGGTATGGAGTGGCTGATACTCAGGAGATGGCCCCCGTGACCCTCTCTGCTTCTCTATGAGAAGTAAGCAGGCAGCAAGACCAGTGGCTCAGCTGAACTCCGAAGATGGTCATTGTTGGACTCCAAGGATAGCCATGTACATCCCCTTCCCAGAAGAGCTTCCTGGATGCTGTCTAAACTCACCATGTCCCCAGCGTTTCCCATCCCTCACCCTTGCTTCCTTTATTCCTCTGTCTTTCCCCTTTTCACTCCCACATACACATTACTGTGGGTTTCCTTCTCGACCTTTATGAAGGATTTGCTTTGTGTGTTTGCTGCTGTGTATCCAGCTCCTAGAACAATAGGTGTGCAACTCAACATTGTTGAATGACTGAGTGGAGTCGTGGTTTTGGAGCTAGGCTGATGTTGAAGTCCTAGCTCTAGTAATGTGATTTTAGAAAACCTGCTGGGTTTCCATTGCTTTGTTAAAGACATCATAACCAAAGGCAGCTTGGAGAGGAAGAGGCTTATTTCACTAACTTCTGTGCATCACAGTCCATCTCTGAAGGAACCTGGAGGCAGGAGCTGATGCAGAAGCCATAGAAGAGGGCTGCTTACTGGCTTGCTCCCCATGGTTTGCTTAGCCTGTCTTAACACTTAAGACCACTAGCCAGGGATGGAACCACCCACAAAGTGCTGGGCCTTCCCACATCACTGATCAAGAAAAGCCCTGTGTAGACTTGCCTACAGGCCACTCTGGTGAAGGCGTTCTCTCAACTGAGGTTCTCTCTTGTCAAATGACTCTAGCTTATGTCATGTTGACAAACACCTCACCAGGACAGGCTTGGTAGATCTGGGTCTCTTCATTTGTAAAATGTGGCTAACACGGCTTAGTAAGTGGTTATGAGGGGAATTAAATGGTAGAATCCACTCATTCAGCAAAAGATTATTGTACCCCTTCTGTGAACCAGGTATTGTCAGGAGACACAGGAGTGATCTAAGGAGCTAATGTTCCTGTCATCTGGGAGGAAAGGCTAGGAGACAAAAAGGACACACAGCACAGGGTAGCCACAGGACATCGGTGGATCCATACCTAGTGTGGTGACTGACCATCCCTCTAGGCACACGTTTGTGGGGGACATAGGTCCCACTTATGGTTCTCATCCTCTCTCCAGATAAGAGCTCTAGGATTATACGTTGTGACACATCGCTATGACTACAGGTGATTGAACAGAAGTAAGCTCCTGACTCAAGATAGGCCCCAAAGTCTCCCTTTGAGCAATTTTAGACTGGGAGAGGTGGCTCAGTGGTTAAGAGCACCCACTGCTCTTGCAGAGGACCCATGTTCGAGTCTCCAGACACATGTCATGCAGCTCTGTTGCTAAAATTCCTCCCTGAGGGAGAAGTAATGTCTACCTCTTGCCTAAGGTCCCATGACAAGCTGAGGTACAAATTCCACTGTTGTTCACTCTGGGAAACCAATGACTTTATTAGGCTGCCTCGTAGAGCAATGGAGGTCATGGGTGGGAGTGTGGGTGGCCTTAAAGCAGTCACACTGGACAGTCTGCACACAGAATACATGACAACTCCCCCATGGATGCATAGATGGAATTGTTCTCTCTAGTCCTTCGACCTAAATACACTAAATCCCACCTACTCACCCCCCTAAGTCCACTTAATTAGGCCAGAATTGTATCCACCTGTTTGGGAGGTTTGGCTGGCTCCTCAGTGAGGGCCCTATGACCCTCTGGCCCCACAGGAAAGATTAATAGTCAACAAGCCCAGCTGTGGTGACTTTTTTTTTCAAGTGGGCACAGCTGAACTCATGCAGAGAGTAGTAATTTATCTTAGCAGATAGTCCTGTAGAGAAGGCTTGAAACACCTTCAACCCCAGTTCCAGAGGATCTGATGCCCTCTTCTGGACTCTGTGGGCACCTGCACTCACCCATGTGCATGCATTTGGGAGAGTAAGGGTATGTGCACGTGCATGCACCTAGCAGGCAAACCTTAAAAACCAAAACCAAAACCAAAATTGAACTGGAGACTTCATTTCTGTTTGGGGCCTCTGAGGAGCTGTGTTAAAGTGCCCCTCTGCCAGTTGAAATCGTGATGAGGTGTCTGTCTGCACAGAGGGTCCCCAACAAGAGAGGGGGATGGGCTCCAGCTGTGTCCCAGGCCCTGGATCAGTTCCTTCTTGAGGTTTGGGTACCTCTCAGCCAAAAGAAAGCCTGTGAGACACCAGTGGAGCCAGAAAACAAATTCCTGTCTCTTTGCTTAAGTTGTCTGGAGTCATAGCCAAAGAAGGGCACCTGTAGCCTTGTGCTAGAACTCATAGTTCCAATTTTAGGTTACATTAATACACTAGTGTGTGTGCCTAGAGCATTCCAGCCCTCTTCTACCATGTGACACCTACTAGATGAGCAATAAATTCAGTTCTTGTAGACCTACCAACCTAAGTAGGTAATCGGTAATGCCGGTCCCACTTGCTGCCTGGCACACGACAAGGTTATATCCTTATGGGTATGGCTCCACTCATGAGAATCTGCCTGCATTTCAAACATAAACAAAGGGTAACTGCTCTCTTGAATCTTTGATGGTCTTGGGGAGCTCAAGGAGGATGAACCCACTTCTGATCTTGAGTTGTCACTTGTCTTTCTGGACCCAGAGCAGTAATTGTAATTGTCCCCCCTTATTATATAAAATGGCTATAATGATCATACCCAGGATTGCCTGTGCCTCTCAAATACCTCTTGGGAACAGCTGGTTGATACACAATAGTCAGTCGTGCTTCCTGGAAATAATGGAGGAAGGCAGACATTGATGCCAAGACTGGGACTGTGGAGCCTTTCTTGTTAAGAAAGCAGAGAAGGCACATCTGAGATCTGAGCAGTTTACACTGTCTGGCCAAAACTGAGGCTGAAATTCTAGAACAATGGGAGGTGGGCCTGCACATTGGATGTTAGAGGCATAGAGAAAGAGAATGTTCCTGAAGCCGCTCCCTAGGATGACAAGCTTCTCCCCAGGCCACTCGCTGTCATACTCATCGAGTCCCCAGAGCTCAATGGTGGACAGCAACCAGAAGAGCAAGCACTGAGTTCATGTGCCAATGGGTGACTGGCTCGGCTTCTACAGCTGCTGTGGGGGGTTGGGAGGGGATGGCTACTAGATTCAATCTGGCATTGAAGGGTCAACCAGCCAAAGAGACCTCAAGGACAAGGTGACTGTCATGCCTTCTACCTACCCATGAAGTCATCATAGGCAGAGTGGAGGGAGGTCTGAGGTATAGCAGCCAGAGAACCAGGATCACCCAGCAGGTATAGGAGCATGGAAGGCAGGCTATGGACAGCTAAACAAGACCGAACCTCAGCCTCAGATGCTGAAGCTATGTTCCTCTCTCTGCAGCTGAGAAAACAAGCCACTGGCTCAGGCACTAGCTGGGGATGGGGGTGGGGTAGGAGTCTTTTTTAGTCGCAGCTACTTCGTCTGTCTTCTCTTCATCTGCTGGACAGCAGCCACATAGTCATAAGGTAGTTGGGGCATTTTCCGCTGTCCCCCTCTCTCTTGTTTAGATTCTCTAGGAGTCACATTCTTTTGTACCCTCCAACTCCCCTGGCCCATGGTATTTGTACAGGCCCCTCTCCAGGACAGTGCATGAAAACACGGGCTTTGGAAGCCACTGGGCAGCAGAGTCACAGTCAGGGCCCCACCTATATGACTGTGTGCCAGTCACTCCCAAGTCATCTCGTAGGAGGAAAGGTGATGTCTTGATCAAGCACATTCCCCGGTGACATGCGTGTCATTTGAACAACCACCTCAGTGAATTTGCCTCTGCTTCTCAGAGTTCCATTTTCCCCTGCACATTTCTCCTTTCCAAGCCGTGCTTCACCCTTGGATTGGCTAAATCCCACCAGTCCTGAAGTCAGAAGAGTTCATTTCTCTCCCTCCACTCGGCCATCTTCCTGGGCCAAGCCAGCAGTGGGCAAGGGACAGGATGGCTGTCACACTGAAGGAGAGGAACTGGCTTTGATGATAGGGTGTGGGCTGAGTAAGGAAGCGATCAGTAGAGACGGAGGCCCCATGGACACCCCTTAACCCCAGAGTCCTTTCCAATCTTTGCCGTGTACCTTCCATTTTGGAAATAGAACAGCAGAGGTTCTGGACTGGCTGTGAAAACACCCAGGGACAGTGGCTACAGTGTGTTGGCAAAGCAGTCTGAGGGAAACTGAGGAGCCATAGGAGGACCACTAGGGGCCAGGAAGGACTTGGGCTTTAAGTACCTGTATAGATATCTGTTCTCTGCAAGAGAAGCCAGGGACATTTGCATTACACTCCTTTGCTCATTATTGCATAAAGGAAGGAGTCTCTTTCCTGGTATGTACATGTGACTAGGCTTCTGGGATCATCCCTGGAGAGAAAAGTATAAAGTATCCCCAGAAATGGAGGAACCAGGCAAGGTCACACAAACACGGATGTGAAGACAAGAGGAAGGACAGGAAGTCCCGCATTACTTTTCATAAAGAAGAAGAAACTGGAGGAGACCTTGTTTGGTCCTGACTTGGCTGGGAGAGAAGAGAGCCAGGAGGGAAGCAACAGGTGAGCTACTTCAGATGTGAGCAGGTAGCCCTGTCCTCATCCCAGACCCATACGCAGGAAGCTGGCCCCGGGTCCTGCCAATCTCTGCAGTACAGGCTGCCCAGTTCCCACACAGGAACAGACAACGGTGGCTTTGGAGACCTCACAGCCCCCAGTCCTCAGGTACTCCCTCCTCCTGGCTTTCCTGTGTGCCCCCACTGTAAGCAGAAGCTGGACAAGGTTGTGAGCAAACACCTTTATTCTGATCCTGCTCCCAGCTTTCCAGGATGAAAGAAGTTGATGGGACTCGGGTCGGAGTCTGGCTCTGTGGTGCCTCCCGTGCTTCTAGCTGTGTCTGGAAATGGCTCACTGAAGGTCACTAGGTGTGTATTTCAAAATCTACATCCGAGTCAATGAGGGAAGGAAGCCGGACGCCGGCGATGGTGTGGAAGCCCGGGACCTGCTCCTGCTCCTGGATCTGGTCTCTGAGGCGGCGGATTTCCAGGCGTTGCATCTCGATGATTCTCCCGGTTTCCTCCTGTTCATTCAGCCTCATAGTAGAACTGGTGCCGACTATGTCCTTGGTGAGCACTGTAAGGGACAAAGCAGGATCACTGTAGCCTGCTTACTGAACTGCTGAAGTCCCCACCTCCTCCAAACATCCTCGGAGCATCCACAGAGGAAGAGATAAACAGGCCACTTCACTGTCACTCCAAGTGGTAAGTAAGCCTGCCTAAGTGCTTCCCTGAGGTCACTTGTAACTCCCCAGGGGACAATGCTGGAGTCCCAGATACCAGTCCACTGGTAAAGATGATGCTTCTGGATCCAGACTCCTCTCCTCTCTCTCTGTGGCATCTGTTAATGCTTCCTGAACCTCTGATCTTGCCATTTTCCCTGACTTGGGGTTTGCCACCATCCTGGGCATCCATAGTCTGTGGCTCTTGTCAGGCCTGGGCCTCAAGGGGCTGGAGTCCCAGTAGTAATATTGGCTTCCATGCCATGCCACCTGCCCCTCTATCTTCAGCACCTAGAGGTCCCTTTGCTGTCAATGTCCCATGCCAGCGCTCCAGTCTGACTACAGACTCTTTCACTATTCTCAGTAATCAAGATAAGACAGCTTCTTCCTGCAATTCCCTCCTACCTGTGAGGTGGGCCCTAAATTCACAGTCTTCTCTGGCCACTTATATCCATGTGAGTCTTTCCCCCCCTTCACTTTCTTGGCACCCTCTCAGCCCCATTTTCTAATTGATTTCATATATCCTGCTCAGCCTGCACCTGAAACAGCCCAGCCTTTCAGAGTCTCCCCATCTGTGTCTGGCCTGCTGTGTGATCCTGAGAAAAGTAGCAGGTAAGAGCCGGTGCCTCTTCTCCAGCCGACTGTTTAGGCTGCTGCACAGCCCACAAACTTTCCCATCCCACAGCTGCACACCTGAACTCTGACCTCCATTCCCTCTCCGTCAGTCTTAACAAATGGTACCGCCTGTCTCTCCTTCCTATAGCCAACCCTTTCCTGTGGCTCTAAAGGAAACACTAGAAAAGAATAGATGTTGGAGGCAAAGGGAGAGACTGTTTCTACAAGGAAACAGTCAGCAGTGGCCAGTGGTCAGTCTTGCCTTGGCCTCTAATTGGTGTGATGGGGCCAGCATTTAAAGACCAATTGGTTTATCTTGCCCTTCTTCCTCTTTCTGCCCTTACTTCTAGAAGTTCTTTTCTGCAGTCCCATGCTCATGATCTGAGTGCCCCCCCCCCCAACCCAAGTAGCAACCCTTCATCCTCCCAATACTCATTGTTTCTGGAAACTACTGCCCTGGATTTCTTGACGTCTTCCGGTTCCTCCCACTAGCCTGCACATGCAGATACTTAACCAGTCACCATCTGGCATCCCTGGGGATGAGGTGCCTGTGAAACCACAATCCTGGAGGCACTTGGGGTCAGCCTGAGAGACGCAGCACGGAGCTTCTCTTTCTGGCTACCACAGGCCTGGACACAGTGGCCTATTCTCTCTCTATGTGTTCTAAGAATCTTGCTCTAAACTGTAACTTTCTTTTCAGATTTATTTATTTTATGTATATGAGTATAGGTGCCAGATCCCATTACAGATGGATGCTACCCACTATGTGGTTGTTGGGAATTGAACTCAGGACCCCTGGAAGAGCAGTCAGTGCTCTTAACCACTGAGCCATCTCTCTAGCCCCCACTGGTCTCTCCATTCTTACAGCAAATTGCCTGGCTCTCATACTGTTGGTGAGTCTTACAGGGGCTGCCCTCTTTGGTGTATAAACCTGGCCTCTTCCACAGCTGTGGGAGGTGAGTTCTCGCCGAGAAGCTCCATCTACTCTTGCCCCTCTGCTCACATCCTCACTCTCCTCTTGCTCCTTTTCTGCTCAGAACCTGTCACCTTCCAGATCTGGTCAGTGTCCCTCTCTGCACGCTGCTCACAGGCTTCTTTCAATAGACATCCGACCGGTATTGCTTAAACAATGAAGTTACTATTATCACCACTATTGTGATTTGCAATGTTGGGGTCTGAACCCAGCAGCCTCATGCATAAGGTAGAGAGAGATTCAGCAATGAGCTGCATTCTTAGCCCCAAATCTGATGGAAAATAAGGAAGTGTCCAGGGACACAGCGACTCATTCCCACCTCCTTTCTACACGTTGTGTCACATCTATTTTCCATCTGTTGGTTTGGGAGATTTCTCTTTCTTTCTCCCCTGCCTTCCTTTCTATCATCCCTCTAGACTCTAAAAAGTTTAATATGCTTATATAACATAAAGAATGCAAAGCAGGGAGGCTGAGTTAGATGCTCCAGAACACACATGAAGCACAATGGGATTATATATATTTATATATATATATTATACATAATATATATATGATATATATCATATTGTATATATATGTATACAATATATATCATATGTATGATATATCATATATGTGTATAAATCATGTATATAATGTATATATGTGTATATACACATGTAATATACTTGTATATAATGTACAACACATGTATATATGCATACAATATATGTATATATTATATATAATATATAGTATAATATACATTATATATACATTACACACACACACACACATATATATATATTATATATATAAAATGTGTGATCTCAGAACTCCTACAGGGAGATGGGAGTTGAGACAGGAGAGTCCCTGAAAAGCTAGCTAGCCTGACTCTCCTGTCTACATGCACTCTGTGGTACACGTTCACCTGCATTTACACACACACACACACACACACACACACACACACACACACACACACACATACTGGTTCTCCTGCTGTGAAACAATCAGAGACACAGGGTCTTTTGGTTCTTGATGCTTCTGCCCAGTATTTTAGTTCTTCTGAATTGCTGTTTGGATCCATAGTTCAGCCTGTGCATTCCATGTGCTAAGCCATCCCTTGCTCTTCAGTGCCCACATTTGCCTCCTTGATGTACTGTTTCTTCTTGCCTGCACACTTACCTCTGGGATCATTTTCTTCCTGATGTACAATCCTTTTTTTTTTTGGTTTTTCGAGACAGGGTTTCTCTGGGTAGCCCTGGCTGTCCTGAACTCACTCTATAGACCAGGCTGGCCTCAAACTCAGAAATCCGCCTGCCTCTGCCTCCCAAGTGCTGGGATTAAAGGCGTGCACCATCACCGCCCAGCCTGATGTACAATCCTTAAAATTATTTTTAAGAAGGTTTTGTTGGAGGGCAAAGTTTAATTTTTGTCAATGTTGTTTTCTTTTAGTTCCATTTTAAAGAGATCATTTCCCTGGTGATCTGTGTCTGGGGATAGCCACCAAGCTTCAGCACTCTGAAGGGACTGTGTCACCAGTACTGGCTCTCACTGTTGTCACTGAGGAGTCAGAGGACACCTGCCATTATTCTTCTGTGTGTGAGCCCTTGATCTCCCTGACTTCCCGTAACTTCTTGTCTTCCATGTTCTGTGGTTGTGTGATAATTTACACTTGCTGTTAATCATCAGGTCCAGGAATCTATTCTGAAAACTCTCAGTTACTCCTTGTGGTGCCTCCGCCTCCCTCAGAGTCCACTCAGACAGCTGCAGGCTTACTCCACACCATCCTGGCTCTGTTTTGTCTGGGTTGGAACCCGGCTACCACCGTCTTCGTGCTTTAGTTCACAGAGTCTGCCTTCAGATGTGTGCATCTTCCATAGGGCTCCATTAGTTCACTGAGATTCTAATTTTAATAATTACAGTTCTCACTTCTACTAGTTTAATTATTTGTGGTTTTAAATATTAGTTGTCTGTAAAATTTTAGAAGACTTTTGCTTTAAAAAAAAAATTCAAGGGCTAGAGAGATGGCTCAGCAGTTAAGAGCACCAACTGCTCTTCCAGAGGATCTGGGTTTAATTCCCAGCACCCCCATGGCAGCTCACAGCGATCTTGTAACTCCAGGATTCAACACCCTCACACAGACATGCCTGAAGGCAAAAATATCAATGCACATAAAACAAAAATAAATAATTAAAAAAAATCAAGCTGGGAGGTGGTGGCTGTGGTGGCAGCCAAGCCTTTAATTCTAGCACTTGGGAGGCAGAGGCAGGGGCAGGCAGAGGGGCAGAGGGGCAGAGGGGCAGAGGGGCAGAGGGGCAGAGGCAGATAGCTGAGCTCACGAGCAGCCTAGTCTATGGACTACACATGGAAACTGTCTGGAAAGACTAACAGTAGTGGCGACGGCAGCAGCAGCAGCAGTAGTAGTAGCAGTAATAAGATAAAAATAAAAATTCAAATTCCTCTTTTTATTCCTTAAACATATAGAGCATCGAGTCTTTATTATATTTTACTCATGTTTCTTTATGTGTGTCACGTGTGTGTATATGTTGAGTCCTTGTACAGCTTCAGCGATTCCATTTGCTTGGGGTAGCAAGGAATTGTAGAAAGGACAGAGAGAGAAAGAAAAGCTAGGACTGAGGGGACTTGCTCTCTGACTCGCTCTCTGACGGAGAAGCCACAGCAACCCCAGCAGCTCAGTGTGTTTATTATACAGTTGAACAGAGAGGCCAGATTATTACACATAGCTCAACAAGGAGGAGGTCTCTGTAGGGAGCAGTCTTCAGGTCATAAATATTTGGGGGTGGAGGAGAAGAAACTACAGTGGGCATTTTTTTTTTCTTTTTCGCATGCTCTCAACATTTGCACTTGGACCAGGAGGGAAGATTTTGGCATTTCCCGTGGGGCTAAGGCTCTGGGATACTGTCAGCACAGACATGGCTCTTGACACAGTTCATGTCAAAGCACATAGTCACTAGTTCAGCACTTCCTCCATTTCCTGTGTGCATGTGAACACATGTGTGCATATGTGTGTGTATGTGTGCATGTGCATGCCTGTGTTCATGCTGAGTGTGTGTGTGTGTGTGTGTATTCCCATGCATGCCACCACACACATAGAGGTCAGAGGCCAATTCTCTCCTTCTACCATGCGGGTCCTGAAGATCCAGTCCTTTTATCATCTTGTGGGTCTACTGTCTCATTTTAACAGTCTGATTTTTCATAGTCTGTTGGTTTTATCCTACAGCTTGACACTTTGAGGGTTTAACACGTGTTGGGTCTTTTCCT